TCAGACTATAGAGGAGGAAAAGAAGTTGGAATGGAAACTCTGTCTCACAAGGGAAAAGAAGAGAAGGATGGAGGAGGGCGAGGGAGTTGGAGGTGATAAAGGTGCAGAGGGAGGAGCTTCAGGCGCAAGAAGATAAACAGGGAAAGCTAGATGTTATTTTGAGAAACATAGAACTCCTTGCCAGAGCCTGGGACGAGCAACACCAGTTCTCTAGAGCCCAGGACATCGCCTTGCACTCCATCCGCCTAGGATTTAGGGATTTTGCACGTGATGCTGCACGTAGGTGCAGAAGTGCAGGCGAGAATAAAGGGCACTGAGAAGATTTGCACAGGCGCCATTGAGAGAGCAAAGCTGGTTGTGCCGAAGGACGAAGAGCCACGCCCCTGTAGACAGCCCGTTAAGATAACATTTCATGAGTCGTACGGCGGGAAGAAATAAGAAAATTTTGATAATTGGGAGGCCAACGTAAATAGATACATTTATTTACAATATATCGTGCCAGAGGAACAAGTCCTCATAGCCATCCAGGCCCTCAAGGATGAGGCCGCCAGCTTCGATAGATCGCTTGCTCGCTTTGCACAGTGCGAGAATAACATGGTCGCTTACTCTAAGGTCACCCCTCTCCCTGAGTTCTTTCGGCTCCTTAAGGAGCGATTCGCAAATGTCACGCGAGGCGTCAGGGACTCTGACAAACTGCAGACTATCCACTCACGCCAGTGGAGGAGTGCCAAAGCACTCAACGGCGTACTGGACGAGCTTGTAGCCGTCCCAGACCACGAGGTCACTAAGCCCCAGTTGGTCAATCTCTTATATCGTGCCATGCCAGAGCCCCTACAGGTACACTTCTTTGAGAAGAGTCAACAGCTCACCGTGACATACGATGCGTTGAGTAGAGAGGTGGTGCTGTTCGAGGCGCAGTCCATGCCAGTTTCCGCTTTCTTGCACAAGGACTTAGATAAAGGTAAAAAGTGGAATAGTGATACCATCTCAGGTCAAGTAAAGGGAAAGGATCATTTGATCCTTACGTTAGACGAAGGTGGTACAGATGAGGTCCCATATAGCCAGATAGAGTGGGGCCTAGATGAGGGGGACAGTAGTGGGGGTCAGGGGAGGACTTACGCTGCTGTCGCGGCTGGAGGGAGGTCGCAAGGAAGAGGAGGAGGCAAGGGCCAAAGGGGGCGGGCCTCAGGTGGCCGAGGACAGGGCGCTCAAGGGATTGGCGACAGAGGAAACCGCCAAGAAGGAGGTGGGGGTCAAGGTCCCCCGCCAAATCGCTCACGATCCTATAGGTCACCTCCACGTCGAGGTGGATGGCATCAAGGCTTGCCGCAAGGCAGGCCATGGGAAGATTTGGGCTTAGAGCAGTCAGTGTGGCAACGGCGGATTGATCAGGATCAGTGCATCTACTACGGTGATCGTGGTCACACCATCAAATTTTGCCCGAAGTATAGAGAAGCCCGGTATGCTGCACAAGCAGCAAAAGGCAACCGTCGGTAGGGGTCGCAACTGCCCCTACCTCTAGGCCATGTGGAGAAGAGTGTGCGCACCACAAAGGAACTCCCAAACCACATGAGCCTACGACAGAGGTTGCTGGCCAGTACCTAGACAGTTGTCCAGAGACTGTTTGTGTAAGCGTCTCTCTAGGTACTTCCCTCACAGGCGTGGCTGAAGAGTTAAAGGAGAGGATGCCTGTCTGGGCCAAGATGAAGAAGGATGCCAAAGGACAGCTAGTGTTGGTAGATGTAGAGGTTTTTAGAGGTAGAGTAAGGGCCCTTATAGACAGTGGGGCCACCCACAGCTACATCAGTAGGAAAGCGCTGCAGAAGTTGAAGTTGAATTTGAAAGTCCAGAAGTTAGCAGACCCTATAGTCACTATGCGAGTCGAGGATTACGTGGAGGGAGTCCAGGCGTACTTTCGCCTAGAGAAAGATGGGAAGGTGGAGAAAGTGCTCCATTCCCTGACTCTCGTCGTAGAAGACAGTCTCCCTTTTGATATAGTCCTAGGCTGCGTAGCACCATGTTCGCGTTTCGAGGCGAACGCGAACATGTTCGCCCGAAAGCGAACAAGCGCCCAAAACCCTCCGAACGCAAACATATAAAATATTTATAAAAAAAAAAAAAGGTTTTCAGAAAAATCTGAAAAAAATATATGTTATGTGAAATATCAATACAAGCAACTTTTGGCTTGGAGTCATGTTCAAATTCATAGCCAATCATGAGTTAAAAATCAAGAACGGAATTTTTTTATTTTATTTTATTTTATTTTTACGGAAAAAAATATACGTTCGCCCTAACATGTTCGTGAGCTGTTCGCGAGAACACGTGAACACGTTCGTGCAAACGTGAAGGGGCGGGAACACGTTCGCCGTGCTACGCAGGTCCTAGGAATGGACTGGGGGTGGCAGCAAGGACCACACTCCATTTGAGAGAGCACGAGTATAGGCTCCCTAGTCCCACAGGTGAAGTTAAGACTGCTCGCCTGTTCCATGTGTCTGGAGTAGAGAACACCCTGGCGCATTGCTGCCTCAGTGCTCCCTCGTTCGCGCGATTAGTAAAGGAGCACTTAGAAGAGCAGGTTTTTGTAGCCTATGTGAGGCCAGTCACTAAGCCTAAGGAGGAGACACCCAGAGACCCTACTATTGCCAAGCTGCTGGAAGAATATACAGACCTAGTTAAGCCGCCAACAGGAGTAGTGTCGCGGCCAATCCATCATCGCATAGAGATAGAGCCTGGCAATAGGACTCCTAAGGCAGCGATTTACAGAATGTCCCCAAGGAAGTTAGAGGAGCTACGTAAGCAGTTAGACGAGCTCCTTGAGAACGGTTGGATTAGGCCCAGTTCGTCCCCATTTGGAGCACCTGTTCTCTTTGTCCCCAAGAAAGAGGGAGAGCTTAGAATGTGTATAGACTATAGGGGTCTTAATGTTATCAAAGTGAAGAATGCAGAACCACTGCCCCGCATAGACAATTTGTTAGACCAGGTGCAGGGCTGCAAGTATTTTTCGAAGACGGATTTAAAGTCCGACTATCATCAGATAAAGGTTCATCCTGATGATCAGTACAAGGCAACATTTCAGACTAGATATGGGCACTATGAGTTTATACTTATGCCCTTTGGACTAACCAATGCGCCAGCGACTTTCCCGCGCTGCATGAACAATTTGTTTAGGCCGTGGTTAGATAGATTTGTTGTAGTGTATCTAGATGTTATTCTAGTGTTCAGTAAGACCCTCCAGGAGCATGCGGGCCATCTGAGGCAGGTCTTAGAGAAGCTAACTCCAAGATCAACGCAAAGAAGTGTGAATGGGCCAAGACGCAGGTTTTGTACCTGGGCCACGTCTTAGACTGAGACGGCGTTAGACCTGAAGATAGTAAGATTGCAGCAATTAGAGACTGGCCAACGCCCCGCACACTGACAGAGTTGTGGTCGTTCTTAGGCCTAGCTAATTACTATAGGAAGTTCGTAAGGAACTTCTCCACCATCGCTGCACCCCTTTGCAGGTTGTTAAAGAAAGAGGCAATCTGGAAGTGGAATAAGGACTGCACAGCTGCCCTGAAAAGCTTAAAGCGGGCCCTGATAGAATATCCAGTCCTTAAGGTAGCCGGTCCGTCCCTGCCTTTCGTTGTTACCACTGACGCGAGTCAGCATGGCATAGGTGTTGTTTTACAGCAAGACGATGGCATCTTCAAGTGTTGATTGTATCTCGATTTAGCATCTCACGTGTGAACTCTCATGTGAATATTCGTTGATGTATGCGAAGTTGAACTTGACGAGTACTTGGCTCATTTCATAAGCCGAGAAACGAAAACAAACAAACAAACAAAGGATTTACAATTGCCTTGGAGAAGAACAAACCAAGGATTTACAATTGCCTCGAAGAAGTTGGAGTTGAATTCTTCACAGAATCTGTTGTTCTCAACTTATCTGATAAAAGTGAAACACACACACACACACACACACACACACACACACACACACACACACAGAGAAAGACAATCTAAAGGACCACCAGCAGAAGCGAAGGCAAGTCTAAGAGCCTTGCTCTACTACTCAACCTTCTAAATGAGTCTCGACTGGGACTAAGCGAACATTTTGAATGAATCGGACCATTGCGAGCTCCAGATACATCTAGAATGTTGTGCAGTGGAGTGGGGCCCTAACGATGGTCTCGAAACAAGTCCTTCGCAATATTTGTTATCGGCTGAAATTGCAACAAGAGCTGCAAGAGCACCGCCACCGCCCCAAGAAAAAAGGAACAAGGAAATTAACCTCCCCCCCCAAAAAAGGAACAAGATAGACAATTTCTAGGAAATTAACTCCGCTCCCCAGCAAGAACGCGCAGTAATAAAGAGAAGTTCTGAAATTAAAAGGAAAATGAGGGGGGGGAAATACCCAAAAATTCCTATAATAGCGAGCCACTTAACTGGACACTCAACTCTCAACAGCTACCTCTTGTGCAAAAGCCCCCATCACATGATGAATTTCATTTTACAACCGTTACAGAACGAGTTAAAAAAAAAAAAAARMAAAAGAAGCCAAAAAAAAAAAACATTCACAATGCGATCACCAGCTGCGCGAAGTTCAGAACTATTCTCTCTCTTTCTCTCTCTCTCTCTCTCTCTCTCTCTCTCTCTCTCTCTCTCTCTCTCTCTCTCTCTCTCTCTCTCTCTCTCTCT